ATAGATAGATAGATAGATAGATAGATAGATAGATAGATAGAGATAGATAGATAGATAGATAGATATGATTTTACAATAAAAGTTTTGATACAGATTTTCTTTGAAGCCATTTTTTACCAAGTATCAACTCATCATTATTGTTATTCAATCATATCCCCGGTTTGTCAGTGCTGGAACTTAGCCTGCTCTCCTCCGATGATGAGACTTCTGCTGACACCCCCCACACAACCATTCACTGTGAAGACCGGTGTGCTGCTATTTCTCCTCCTTGAGCTCCTTATAGAGGTGAGAACAGAGGGTATGTGATCACTTATAAAAAGGGAAAAAAGTATTTATGTTTTCTATATCTATACAGAAATATTTGCCTTTAATTTCTATTTTAAATGGAATGGGTTATTTTACAAGGTGAAGGTTCACATTCAGTATACGTAACCTTCCATTTTTAGAAACACTTTTATATACTGTGTATTATTACAGGTGCATTGAAACTCCATACTGTGGCAAATAGATCTAGTACCTAATGAGAGTCCTCCATAAGTGCATGACCCAATCCACCAATGTCCATTTGAAACTTGAACATCAGTTTTTGTGGACCTTTAATATTGACAAGATACCTTTTGTGATTTGTGCACAAAATACAAAGCTTGACATATTGATATAAAATTTCAGTTAACACAGCGATAATGCTTACAATAATATTTGTTTTCATGAAAATGAAATTGCTAAGGTAAGACATTCAGTTCCATTTCTGCGATATTCCATTTGCTCATACAAAGAATCCACAGTGAGCAAAATTACAGTGAGCTAGCTGCCCATTACAGGTGTCCTCACGGTACAGTAAGGTAAATGGACAAGAAATGGTGACAAAGAGCTATTTACCGAGCAGTGTTATCTTAATGACAGCCTTCATGCCATTTCAAACCAATGCTTTCTTCCCTGCACCATACCCGATTTCTTGATAACTGTATTTCATTGCTGGCATTTTGTAAACATTCCATATACTGATACTTTAATAGACTCCTCACATTGTTTTATTTTGTTTTGTTTTTTTTTTTTTTAAACTTTTACCTTCCTATGTAATCATAAGCTACAATTTTGTCGCAAGGATCATTGCTCCCTGCATGCTAACTGGTTATAGCGTCCACGATTGAGGACTGTCAAAGGTACATCCTCTGCTTCTTCGTCTCAGCTGGAGGCAAATATAAACAAGATTAGATGAAAATTGGGCAAAAGAGAACTGAGAACAGTGTAAAAAATGTCCTAAATGCAACTAAGCCTTGCTGAAGATATCAAATGGTCATCATACAGTATATTGGCAAATGAACAAAAGCTGGTTAAGGAAGGCTCTAGGTTTTTGGATGGAGAATGGCTGGACAATTGAAAAGTTCACCCCTTTCATTCATAGGCCATGTTTCAGTCATTGAAGCTATTGTACAGCTTTTATGAACTGAGGAGGTGAGAGGAATATGGAGGAGGAATATGAGTGCCTGTCAGCAGCTCTGTTGGCTCTATCAACTCAATGAATACAGTGGTGGGGTAATGGTGGGAAGAGGGAATCAATGGAGGAGAATTGCAGCTGATAGAGGAGCCAGCAAAATAAGAGACACATCATACTGACTGTAAGTTTTGTCCCTTGTGCTGATATTTTTTTTTATATTATACATAGGAATACAAAGCTGCATTAATTTATCTTTCATATCTGCCATGAGTTTAGTTTTAAAGGAGAACTGTAACCTCAGATTCAGCTTATACAATGCTGGTGTTCACAAAAAAAAGGATAATGTACTCCCTTACAGCTACATATGCACACCACTTCTTCCATTCAGAAGTTCTAAATAATGGGTACTTAGGCACATGGGGATGTATTGTTAAATTGTAGGAGAGTGGGTGCACTGGACACCCTGGCTGCCATTGTGCTATATACTGGGTGTCCAGTGCACTCCTGTACATTTAAGAGGGGTGGGCTCCCTCAGCTTCACCTGCCCTTGATCTATCCTTTAAATACATGTGCCTCTACTATGGGGGCTCTCAAAATTTGTAGAGTTAGGACCACAGAATACCAGGGTGCCGTGATGTGGCTCTGTGGCTTACGTAAGAATTTTCAAATGTGTGCTAATTAAACCCCTGTTTTTAACGCATACTGTTAGACAGGTTAATTAGGTTGTTGGCAAACTGGCTGGCAAGTTGATCATTGAACCTTCTTTTCTTTTTGACATTCCCATAACAATGGTAAGGATCAGGATGCACACATTGGGTTTGATTTACTAAAGGCAAATAGGCCGTGCACTGCAAGTGCACTGAAAGTGCAGTTGTTCTAGATCTAGAGAGGGGAACATGCAAGGAAAATTTTAACCACTGAAAGCACTAAGCAACTTATTCACTCGCCTTGACTATTGTAACTCCCTCCTCATTGGCCTACCTCATCGCAGGCTATCCGCTCTTCAGTCTATCATGAATGCTGCTGCCAGTCTCATCCACCTTACCAACCGTTCCATGTCTGCCATTCCTCTCTGCCAATCCCTCCACTGGCTTCCCATTGCCCAATGAATAAAGTTCAAAACATTAACAATAACATATAAAGCCATTTATAACTCAAATTACATCACTGATCTTGTCTCCAAATATCACCCAAACTGTCCTCTCTGCTCATCCCACAACCTCTAGCTCCCTTGTCTCCTCCTCCCATGCTTTTCTCCAGGACTTCTCCAGAGCCTCTTCCATCCACTGGAACTTTCTACTCCAATCTATCCAACTATGGTCTACTCTGCTCACTTTTCTCTGAAAACCTCTGAAAACCTCTGAAAATCTCTTCAGGGAAGCTTATCCTGCCTTCAGCTAATAATGGAATCTTCTATTTCTCCCATCAGTTCGCCCCCCACAGTTATTACATTTTGTGCCACTAGCCCCTCCCTCTTAGATTGTAAGCTCCAAGGAGCAGGGCCCTCCTAACCCTCTTGTATTGAACTGTATCATTGCTGTATTGTCTCCCTTTTATATTGTAAAGTGCTGAGCAAACTGTTGGCGCTGAATAAATCCTGTATAATAATAATAATATTAAAAAAAAAATATTTTTTTTTCACATGATTGGATGAAAGAAATCAGGAGAACTTTACCTCATTTCAGAGCTTCCCCTCAAATATAAAGCCACTGCACTTGCAGTGCATAGCATATTTACCTTTAGTAAATCAACCCTATTATGAAGGTAATCTCCAACAAGTAGAGATGTGCAAGATGGAAAAATTAATGTTGGTTTTATTCGTTAAGTAAATTTAGTTTCGTCACATTCAATACACTAGAATGATTCTTTTTTGGAATGATTCGGTATTTCGGGAGAGTATATTTTCGTTGTTCTGAATTGAGTCGTATTTATGGAAGTTCTGTTATTTTTTTGTTTTTTTGGAAGATTGGCTATATTTGTTTTTACATAATTCATTAATATGAATTAATTCATTATCTTATTAGGTTGAATTCAATTGCCCATTCCCAACTGACTTTGTTTTTTTGGGCCACACACGTTCAAAATAAATGAATGGTCTCTCAAGTTCAACCCCAATACAAAATAGAATCTTATCAGAATATTCACGCTACGCTCACCAGAATAAAAACAAATGGATTTGAATCAATTTAGATAATTTGTTACGTCATTATATTATTTTCTGGATGCTTCATACACTAACAAAAGGTCCAATCTATTGCATCATGTCATCCAAATGAGACAAATGAATACAAATAAATGTGTTGTTTTTGTTATAAATGATTTTGGATTCATTAAAATTCATTACTATTGTGATTCAGAGATTTGGATACATCCGAATAACGCAAATGTTGTCCAAATTTCGATACATAATGAAACAAACCACACATGCCTACCAATAAATTCTATGTGTGATAACTGTTGTTTCCAATAGTAAGAAGAGCTTGTTCTCACCCAGTAAGGAAACCCTGCAGCACAGTTAGCACAGGGGATGTTAGAATAGCTTTGTTTAATTGAAATAAAATTGTAATTAAAAAGAAATTAAAAAAAACCCTAAAAATTGTTCCAAAAAGGCCCTTAAAAACTAGTGACAAATGAGTTCTCCAGGGCAGAGTTATATATTCAAATCCACGAAACCAGACCCCAACTGGCCTGAATGTTTGTCAAATTTTTCTAAAAAGGCTTGAACAGAAGGAGCCAGCCAGTTCCTGCCCTTGGGACCTCCTGTCTAATGCATTTCACCCAAAAGGGGTTACTGATAAAGATGTAAGTTACAGAGTAGGTTCCCGATAGCAGGGATTATGCAGAGATTGTTGGCTTCAAACAAATGGGAACCTGTGTGACGTCACTAGTGTGTGCAGAGTTTCCTCCTTCTGTTCAAGTGTTGGCGCATGGACTGCTCCATGAATCACCTGCACCCAACATAGAGGGCACAGCATGAGTAACCAGCCCTGGGAGCTCCCACTGTGCACGGGAGCAACAGCTCTCCTGGGTCTCTCTCTCCTCATTGGATGAGCCATTGACTCACGCTGCTGTCAATCACAGCCAGTGAGGAGGAGTTGGGGGAGGAGCTAAGGCATCCTCTTTGTGTCTTAGGGATCAGAAAAAGCAGTGCTCGGGAGCAAGCACACACAAGTGCCCCATAGCAAGCTGCAAGTGAAAGATCAGGGCTGCTCTGTGCAAAACCATTGCACAGAGCAGGTAAGTATAACATGTTTATTATTTAAAAAACAACTGAGCATGTAAAGTGCTATTAAACCCAGGACTCTGCATTCACTGTATCCAGTCTTCTACAGTGCACAGAACATATAATCGCAATTATTTTAGCAAATATAAACTGCTAAATACATTTTCTCATCAGCAGTACATAGCAGTCTTGTGATTTCTATCAGTGTCTTCAATCAGTGTCTGGCCAGTGTCTGCTGAGTGATTAGTCCCGTGCTGAATCCCCATCCCATCACAAAACACACACATGCACCCTCCCCCCCCCCAAAAAAAAACACCTCTCAAGTTAAACACAGCAAACAGAGCATGTGCAGACTTGCCACTGCTGCTGTGTACTGTGGCAGATGTATTGGGGACTGTGGAAGAAAGGAGAATCAGAGAAGACAGGATCAAACAGCCTCTGTACACAATGTGGAATTTTAACCCCTTAGGTTCCACAGTGAGTATAACAAGCATGCTTTACTGCATATACAGACTGATGTTACTGTTGTGGGTTTAGTAACACTTTAATGTTACTTTATTCTGCCAGTCGGAAATGATATTTCGCAGCTAGTTTATTCCTATCGCTTTAAAACCTGGAATAAAAATTGCAGATTTAAACACATAAACTTGGTAAATAGAGGCAACTTCTAGAAGCTTTGATAAACAAAGTTCCACTGACATACTTTAAAGTCAAAATACATCCCTTCGTTAGTTACCATTCCAAGGTTGGACATATTTCTTGGTTTTTTTAAAAGCTACAGCATTGTTTCCCCTAGGTGAATTGTGTTTCTCCGTATTTGCATCAAACAATGCAGAGGATGCTGGGACTTCCAGAAATTACATGATTACTTGTTGACCTATAGGATTAGCAGCTGCCATGCTGTCTTTTGTAGTTAGAAGAATGCATATCTGAATGACAGTCAAATTCCCTTTTAATTAATTTTGTCTCCGAGTCTCTGTGTGCTCACTTAGCTTGTACCGAAATCCTTCACTAGTGCATCTCCCTGTTGTGCGTCAGGGGACTACACGTCCTTTCCATCCTTCCTAACCAATGTTCATGGAAGGAACAAGGATAAATTTAGTTTAGTGACTGTACCAGGTGCCCAGAGAGCGCTCTTGAAATATGTACATATGCATGTCACACTCGATGATGTACTTGAGAGAGGTGAGGAGAAAAGGGCATACATCATTGTCGGAGGCTGCTTTTGCCCTTTCCCCAGGAGTGTGTTTCTTTTTAGTGGAAATTGTAAATGCATGTAGTATTTCAATATCAAACTTGAATTCTGAAAGGTCTCCTAGACCTGGATCTGGCTTTATTCAAACCCTAAATGTATTTTTTTTAAAAATCTGATTTTACCTTGGGTGTAATTTGAAATATTTTTTATTTATATTCATTCGGTACAAACCAATTAAGTCATAGCATAGTCCTTACTGGTTGCCATAGTTACTTAGTGCAGCAGGCTGTGCATGCTGAAGAATGCAGTTGTCACGGTAACCTTATTCTTCAGGGATTGGGATGACCAAAGAAAATGCAATATAGCAGCTTTCTGCTTGACTGCTTTGTAGTTTTTCTCAGTGGTAGGAATGAGTGACATGAACTGGATGGACTGAACTCAATTGAGCCTGATTATGTTTGACCTTGGGCCAATCTCTGTGAATAACATAGCCATCTGAAATTCGGGTGATCAGCTGATACTACTGGCAAGATAGATCTTGTACGGTATAGTCTGCCTTCGCTAGTACTAGAAGAAAAATAATTGTCATAAACCAAATAAAAATATTCTCTACCCAACCCTGAACTGGAAACTGCAGACTCGGCTAAAAAAAAAAAAAAAGCATGGGGTACCAAATACCCTATATTATTTATAGAAAAAAGTTTTATAAAAGACTTTTAAAACTTCCAGCACTGCTTTTGGTACAACACAAAACCAAAGTTACAGATGCCAACATACAGGTATATAGTGTACAAGATGCCAGCAATGGGTCCTGGAAGGGAGGTGTGCCCCCTCTGTTTGGGTTTTGGTCCCTTTAAGGGAATGACAAATATCAGGATGAAGTACTTAGGGTTTCTTACCTATTCAGGGTGAGGGGTTCTGGGGTGAGCTGGCAAAAGGGGAAAACTGACTTGCAATTTCCCCAGGATTGGTAAGTCCTTATGAGAGACCTGGAATTCAGAGGTTCAGAGAGATTTTTGGATGGGAAAGATCCTCCAACCCGAACTACGGATCATATGATACAGAATGGTTCAACCCACCTGTGAGAGCGCTGAAAAAGGGAAGGAGGCAATCAGCAGGTGTCAGTGAAGTGTGGTCTGTAAGAGGACATGCTAGTGAGAGACAGCTGTATGCTGCTCATTTCTAGACACTACTGGCTGTTGTGACCTTTTTCTGCTGACCCTGTGAAGCAAGTGGGGACTGTATAGCCCAGTTAAGGGACAAGTGTTACTGGTGGTAAGCCAAAGGTTTTTTTTATTCTGTACCTTATGGACTGTTTGTGTTTTGTATGCCGAAGAAAGCTACTATTGTTTACTTGTTTTGGAAAAATAAAAAGACTCTTTGCTTTTACAAAGCCGGCTGGTGTACTGAAACTCTCAACTATCACAAAAGTTAATCACACAATATTATTTCTTTACCCAGTACATGCACACATCAAATAGCACATGGTGGATGTGAGCCAGTGGCTTATCTTATTTGCGCTTAACTTGAAAGAAATCGCTGAAAGATTTTACACCTCCTCTGATTGGGGTCTAGTTGGGTGGAACTCCTCTTGTATACAATCCATCACAGTGTCCCATAAATCTGGTAAACCAGTAAAGATATTGCACCCGTTGTCTAAAATGTGGTATGATCAGCTTATAGTTTGATTCAAACTGGCATTAGGAGTGCCTGTCCAATGGAAGGAAAGAGAAGGTTACTTTGGTGGACTAAGGTGGACCTGAGGGGAGACCTCAGGGTGGGTGTCACCAGCATGGTAATACAACAGCAGGGTATGAAGAAAGTTGTTTTGAAGAAAGCATTTTTCAGACCTACAGTACAGCATAAGTGACTGGGTCCCAAGATTATTTGCATGACTCTACAAATCCTTTGACAAGCAATATCTCAATATGGGGGAATTTATCCAAACTGGAGAAGACAGAATCTGGAGCGGATGTGCATGGCCACCAATCAGCTTCTATGCATCTATCTTAAGCCTGTCTGTTTAGGTTTCAAGGATGAAAGACATGAGCTGATTGGTTGTTATGTATAGTTGCTCAAGAATCTGTCTGATCTATCCTAGATACATTTCCCTCTATGTGTCTTAACTGTGAACTCAACTGTTTAGCCTGTATTGCCCTTTAAAACCTCAGTTATCCCTACTTGAGTGAAAACACCATGCTCCATTTCTGTTAATCACCATGAACATGGGAAAAGACACAAATTGCCTTAAAATGGTCTTGTTAACTAAAGTTGTTATAAAGTAATCTTGGTTGAGTAGATGAATGCTGCATACAGGATATGGTGGCACTTATAAGACCTGTTTCTGTCAATCATAGCCAATGCTGTATTGTATAATACACCCACAATGTGATTAAAATCATTGCTGGGAATTTGTTAGATGCTTTGCTACTGATGATGAACTCTTGCCATGTATGAACCTTCCCCCTCCTCTGTCAGCAACAATTGTTACAGTTGATGGCCAATGGAAGTTGCTATCAGGGATGGTCTACAGCTGAGATGGAGTGTCAAATCTGACACCAATTCATTTTGATAAAAACATATGTATTAGTGCAATGTAAAATTAGAGAGCTATAATATGTAAAAAAGGTAGAGCAGGTGACTGATTATAAAGCCGGCTCAAATTGTGTCCAGTTGATGAACTCTTGCCATGTATAAACCCTCCTCCTCCTCTGTCAGCAACAATTGTTACAGTAGATGGCCAATGGAAGTTGCTATCAGGGATGGTCTACAGCTGAGATGGAGTGTCAAATCTGACACCAATTCATTTTGATAAAAACATATGTACCAGTGCAATGTAAAATTAGTGAGCTATAATATGTAAAAAGGTAGAGCAGGTGACTGATTATAAAGCCGGCTCAAATTTTGTTCAACTCCTGTAAATCAACCACAGTTTGAGCCTTGGATGGCCCTGCCAACACCACCTGGCATAGCAAGTATCAATTGAGGAATTGTAAGAGTCTAGCAGAAAAAAAGTTGGCAGAACAGCTACTGCAGCCAATCAGGAAACTCGGGCACTGCCCGAGGGCCCGGGGTCAGTAGAGGGCCCCATAAGATGCCCCTGGTACCTTTTTCATAGGCTTTTTTTGATTTTGGGCAAGGACACAGGGGCCCCATGATCCCCAATTGCCCGAGGGCCCCAAGAGTTGTCAGTCCGCCCCTGCAGCCAATCAAATGCAATCACTGTTCAGGTATTCTGACAGCCGGCACACAGCAGCAAGAGCACTCTATCTCCTAGTCTAAGAACTGCTGTACAGGGGAAAACAAGAGGCAAGTCATATGCAGGTGCTTATAGCAGTTGTACTTACAAATACATTTAATGATGTTTTAATTAATACAGCAATTATTTATTTTAAACTTGCTTTTTTATATCTATTCATTATGCTCTTTTGGCTAACATATCATTTTTACCACATTTGATTTATGGGACTATTTATAAACTAGACCAAGACAGTGGAGACAATGGCGGCGTTATTGCTGGTCATGACCAATCTGATTTCATCTTTGAATTTCTGGGAAAATGAAACAATCTGGTTGATCATTAGGGGCAACAACTCTATTTTTGCTTTTATTTTATTTTCTATAGCCTCGAATAATTACAATTACAATACAAAAACTACAAAAAGTACCCCAGCACACTTACCTGCTTGTCCACAAAATTGCTGGCTAGCAGGTAAGTGTGCCTGGATACATTTTTAAATTGTTCTGTTGTATTAATTGTCCTGCCCATGTGCACCTTACTAAAGCATACATTGATTCTAATGAATGCCATTATTATTTTCCTTATCATTTGGCCGTGATACCTGCTTGTCTCTCATCACACTTTGGAACTGTCACTATGGAACTGCTATGCTGGACGTGGATAATAGTTGAGTGGAACTCATGCTCCGATAAATTAAAACTTTTTCCATATTAAATTTTTTTTTTACATTTTTCCATAATAACCACTTGCCCTCCGGAGGATTTCCCCCCCTTCCTGACCAGGCCATTTTTTGCGTTACGGTGCTGCGTTACTTTAACTGACAATTGCGCGGTCATGCAACGCTGTACCCAAATTAAATTTAAGTCCTTTTTCCCGCCAATTGAGCTTTCTTTCGGTGGTATTTGATCACAAAAAAGACTGACAATTTTGAGAGAAAAACTATATTTTTGACTTTTTTTTATATTAAACATGTCCAGTAAAAAAATTAAAAAAATCAAATTTCATCATAAATTTAGGCCAAAATGTATTCTGCGACATGTCGTTGCTAAAAAAAATCCCAATACGTGTAAATTAATTGGTTTATGTGAAAGTTATAGCGTTTACAAATG